AGGTGATCCCACAGCCACCACTGCTGCTCCAACCACAACCACAGCTGTTCCCAAAACAACCACAGCTGCTGCAACCAAAGCTGCTCCAACAACAACCACAGCTGTTCCCAAAACAAGCACAATTGCTCCAACCACAACCACAGCTGTTCCCAAAACAACTACAGCTGCTCCAACCACAACCACATCTGTTCCCAAAACAACCACAGCTGCTCCAACCACAACCACAGCTGCTCCCAAAACAACAACAGCTGCTCCAACAACAACCACAGCTGTCCCAACCACAACCACTGCTGCTCCAACAACCACTGTTACTTTATCAACAACCACAGCTGCTCCCAAAACAACCACAACTGCTCCCGCAACAACCACAGCTGCTCCATCAACCACTGCTACTCCAACAACAACCACAGCTGTCCCAACCACAACCACTGCTGCTCCAACAACCACTGCTACTTTAACAACAACCACAGATGCTCCCACAACAACCACAACTGCTCCAACAACAACCACAGATGCTCCAACAACAACCACAGCTGCTCAAACCACAACCACTGCTGCTCCAACAACCACTGCTACTCCAACAACAACCACAGCTGCTCCCCCAACAACCACAACTGCTCCCACAACAACCACAGCTGCTCCCACAACAACCACAGCTGCCCCAACTACTACCACAGCTGCTCAAACCACAACCACTGCTGCTCCCACAACAACCACCATTGCTCCCACAACAACCACAGCTGCTCTCACCACAACCACATCTGCTTCTAAAACAACCACAACTGCCCCTACACCAACCACAGCTAGTCCAACAACAACCACAGCTGCTTCTACAACATCCACAACTGGTCCAACAACAACCACTGCTGCTCCAACAACAACCACAGCAGCTCCCACTACAACCACATCAGCTCCAACCACAACCACAGCTCCTCCATCATCAACCACAGTTGCTCCCACAACGACAGTTGCTCCCCCAACAGCCACAGCTGCTCCAACCACAACCACAGCTGCTCCCACTAAAACCACATTTATTCAATCCACAACCACAGGTGGTCCCACTACATCAACAGCAACTCCAACAACTGCTCCAACCAAAACCACAGCAGCACCAACCATAACCACAGCTGCTCCAAAAACAACCACACCTGCTCCAACCACAACTACAGCTGCTCCAACCACAACCACAACTGCTCCAATCACAACCAAAGCAGCACCAACCACAACCACAGCAGCTCCTAAAACTACCATTGCTGCTCCAACCACAACTACAGCTGCTGCAACCACAACTACTGCTGCTCCAACCACAACTACATCTGCTCCAACCACAACAACAGCTGCTCTGACAACAACCACAGCTGCTCCAACAACAACAACAGCTGCTCCGACAACAACCACAGCAGCTCCAACCACAGCTGCTCCAGCAACAACCACAAATGCTCCCACAACAATTACAGCTGATCCATCACTAACCACAACAGCTCCCACAACAACCACAGCAGCTCCCACAACAACCACAGCAGCTCCCACAACAACAATAGCCGTGCCCACCACAACCAAAAGTGCTCCAACAACAACCACAGGTGCTCCAACAACAACCACAGCAGCTCCAATAACAACTACAGTTGCTCCTACAACAACTACAGTTTCTCCAAAAACAACCACAGCTGCTCCTACAATAACTACAGTTGCTCCCACAACCACAGCTGCACACACAACAACAGCTGTTCCAAGCACAACAGCTGTTCCCAAAACAACCACAGCTGCTGCAACCACAAACAAAGCTGTTCCAACAACAACCGCAGTTGTTACTAAAACAACCACAGCCGCTCCAACCACAACCACAACTGTTCCAATGACCACCACTGCTGCTCCACCAACAACCACAGCTGCTTTAACCACAACCACAGCTGCTCCCACAACAACCACAGCTGTTCCCAAAACAAACACAGCTTCTCCAATCACAACCACAGATGTTCCCAAAACAACCACAGCTGCTCCAACCACAACCACATCTGTTCCCAAAACAACCACAGATGCTCCAACAACAACCACAGCTGTTCCCAAAACAATCACAGCTGCTGCAACACCAACCACAGCTGCTCCAACCACAACCACAGCTGCTCCCAAAACAACCACAGCTGCTCCAAAAAAACCCACAGCTGCCCCAACCACTACCACAGCTGCTCAAACCACAACCACTTCTGCTCCAACAACCACTGCTACTCCAACAACAACCACAGCTGCTCCCACAACAACCACAACTGCTCCCACAACAACAACAGCTGCTCCCACATCAACCACAGCTGCCCCAACTACTACCACAGCTGCTCAAACCACAACCACTGCTGCTCCAACCACAACCACAGCTGCTCCCACAACAACCGACATTACTCCCACAACAACCACAGCTGCTACAAGTACAACCACAGCTGCTCCCAAAACAACCACAGCTGCTCCTACAACAACCACAGCTGGTCCAACAACAACCACAGCTGCTTTTACAACAACCACAACTGGTCCAACAACAACCACTCCTGCTCCAACGACAACCACAGCAGCTTCCACTACAACCACATCAGCCCCAACCACAACCACAGCTGCTCCAACCACAACCACAGCTGTTCAAACTACAACCACAGCTGCTCCAACCACAACAACAGCTTTTTCTGCCACATCAACCACAGATTCTCCAGGTACAACCACAGTTACTCCAACTACAACCACAGCTGCTCCAACAACCACTGCTACTCCAACAACAACCACAGCTGTTCCAATGACAACCTCTGCTGCTCCAATAACAACCACAGTTGCTACTACAACAACTACAGCTGCTCACACAACAACCACATCAGCCCCAACCACAACCACAGCTGCTCCAACCACAATCACAGCTGCTCCAACCACAACCACAGCTGCTCCCACAACAACCACAGCTGCTCCCACAACAACCACAGCTGCCCCAACTACTACCACAGCTGCTCAAACCACAACCACAGCTGCTCCCACAACAACCACAGCTCCTCCAACAACAACCACTGCTTCTCCAACAACAACCACAGCTGCTCCAACCCCATCCACAGCTGCATCAACAACACCCAAAGGTGATCCCACAGCCACCACTGCTGCTCCAACCACAACCACAGCTGTTCCCAAAACAACCACAGCTGCTGCAACCACTGCTGCTCCAACAACAACCACAGCTGTTCCCAAAACAAGCACAACTGCTCCAACCACAACAACAACTGTTCCCAAAACAACTACAGCTGCTCCAACCACAACCACATCTTTTCCTAAAACAACCATAGCTGCTCCCAAAACAACCACAGATGCTCCAACCACAACCACAGCTGCTCCCAAAACAACCACAGCTGCTCCAACAACAACCACAGCTGCCCCAACCACAACCACTGCTGCTCCACCAACCACTGCTACTCCAACAACAACAACAGCTGCTCCCAAAACAACCACAACTGCTCCCACAACAACCACAGCAGCTCCATCAACCACTGCTGCTCCAACAACAACCACAGCTGCTCCATCAACCACTGCTGCTCCAACAACAACCACAGCTGCTCAAACCACAACCACTGCTGCTCCAACAACCACTGTTACTCCAACAACAACCACAACTGCTCCCACAACAACCACAACTGCTCCCACAACAACCACAGCTGATCCCACAACAACCACAGCTGCCCCAACTACTACCACAGCTGCTCAAACCACAACCACTGCTGCTCCAACCACAACCACAGCTGCTCCCACAACAACCACCATTGCTCCCACAACAACCACAGCTGCTCTCACCACAACCACAGCTGCTTCTACAACAACCACAGCTGCCCCTACAACAACCACAGCTGGCCCAACAACAACCACAGCTGCTTCTACAACAACCACAACTGGTCCAACAACAACCACTGCTGCTCCAACAACAACCACAGCAGCTCCCACTACAACCACATCAGCCCCAACCACAACCACAGCTGCTCCATCATCAACCACAGTTGCTCCCCCAACAGCCACAGCTGCTCCCACTAAAACCACATTTATTCAATCCACAACCACAGGTGGTCCCACAACAACAACAGCAACTCCCACAACTGCTCCAACCAAAACCACAGCAGCACCAACCATAACCACAGCTGCTCCAAAAACAACCACAGCTGCTCCAACCACAACTACAGCTGCTTCATCCACAACTACAACTGCTCCAACCACAACCACAGCTTCTCCAACCACAACCACAGCTGCCCCAACCACAACGACAGCTGCTGCAACCACAACTACAGCTGCTCCAACCACAACTACATCTGCTCCAACCACAACCACAGCTTCTCCAACCACAACCACAGCTGCTCCAACCACAACGACAGCTGCTCCAACCACAACGACAGCTGCACCAACTACAACCACATCTGCTCCTACAACAACCACCGCTTCTCCAACCACAACTACAGCTGCTCCGACCACAACCACAGCTGCACCAACCACAACCACAGCTGCTCCCACAACAACCACAGCTGCTCCAACCACAACCACAGCTTCTTCTACAACAACCACAGCTTCCCTATCCACAACCACAGTTTCATCTACAACAAAAATGTTGTCCTTTAAGTCTGATGACCTATTCATTAGTCAGTACAGTGACGTAACATCTCCAGAATATTCAAATCGTGTTTCTTTTTTGACGGGAAAGGTAAGCTTTTTACTTCTTTGTTTAGTCTTTTTTTTTTCCTAATCCTGTTTTTAATCAACAATTACATAATGTTCAGCATATTTTAAAACAACATTTCTTATAACTTTTAACATATCTACTGTGTTTATATTAAGTCTTAGATAAACCTAAATTGACATCACAGTTTTTTTTAACCTAATAGTTTCTTTGTATTTTTTATACTTTTTAACCAACTACTAACCAAAAGAATTTTGTGGCAATGATATATTTTTCAGCCTTTTTTTTTATTTTTATATTTTAACTAATGAAATTGACCTAAAGCCAAACATCAGCATCCTTTTAATGCAAACAGTTGTTGAGAATTTAGACAATTTGACAAGATCTCATTTATGTTTAATACATTGTTATATATTCACAATCTTCTGACTTCTTTGTTTCCTCAAACTGTTAATTTACTCCATCCTTCATTGTCTATGTTTCATGTTGCTCCTTGAGCCAATTACAAGTTTAGGTTTTTGCTTCTTTGTAGTTTTGTGTGGTCAACTGTAGAGTTTTATATAAGGCCTATAGCAGACACAGTACTTGAATGATTTAAACAATATGCTGAATAAACTTACTACTTCAGATGGAAGCAATGCTTCCATCTGTAGTAGTAAGTTTGATAACCCAAGTTGTTGTTACCTAAATAGTTGTTCTGGTACATGTTTTTTTTTTTTTTTTGGCTCTTCTTTTATCACACATTTTGATGGGCAAATGTTAAGAGTTTTACATATATACCATTAAAATTTAAACCATTACTGAACAATTAATCATTGCAAATAAATAGAGAAAAGATTTACACCAAAAACTTGAAAAAAATCCCTGCAGGATTTTTATTTGGAAGAAGTAAAAGAAAAAAAAAAAACAGTCCCCATCTTTGCAGGAATAATGAAAATTGGCTGATGTGCATGTTTCCCTCAATTCATTGAGCCAATAAGCTTAGAAAACAATCTCACAGGAAGTAGTAAGAACCTTGACACACTATTTTCATTAGGCTTCTTTAGACATTATTTAACATTCAAAAGCAACTTTTGCCAAAGAAGTTGCTGAGAAATTTTTGTTTTTGTCCTCAAAGTGTAAAATGGTTATATGACAACTATTGATATTTTAAAGTCTCAATAAAAAAGAAACTCCACTAAAACAGTTTTTAAATTTGACAAAATGTTTGGAATAATGTATTATTTTTAGATTTAGCCTTACGAGTAAAGCCCATGATTTTTGTATGTCTGTTGCAGCTTGGGAACATTTTCAAAAACAAATTCCATTCATTCAAGTATTTTGGATCATTTTCCTTTGGGTAAGTTTTTTTCTAAGAAAAACTGTATTATCTATACATTAGTTTGATTTATTTAATTATTTATTTTATTTATCTCCAACATTCATATGCACACAACAAAAATAACAAAAAATCAGAACAGGACACATTGTATTCAAAAAGGGGCAGGATGAAGCAAGTAGCTGAGCTCATCCTGTCGCTCTTTACAGCATTGCATAAATAATCAGATTTCTTTATGTAATATGAGCATTTACAATTTCATAAGCTGCTGTTGTCTTTATACAAAAAGTACTCATCTAATTAAAAAAAGAATGAATGTTTTAAATAACTAATTTCATTAACATATAAATATATATATATATTCTTGCATATAAACACAAATATAAATACACTATTATGCAATTAATACATATAATGCCATAATATTTACGAGTTCATAAGCATACATGATTATAAAATGTTAACATTCTTTAAAGATAACATATATATTTATATATGCATACACACTCATGTAAATACATGTTTAATTCCACTTTTCAAAGATTACCTTTCCCATAACTGTACTACATTTTATATCCTCATAGTAAAACCCATTTGTAAACACTCTTAAAGGTTTAAAGTGTGTAGCACTCTTATCTTGATGTATCAATACTATTCCACAGTTCATCACAGATTTGTGCATAATATTTTTTTGTTTCTTTTACAGGAAAGGGTCAGTCATCAACAATGTGAACCTTGAATTTGAATCCTCATCTGTTCCTACTGAAAATGAAATTATTGATGTTTTGATGGAGGCAGACTCAAACATCACAGAATTTAACATCGTCACAGCTTCCGTAGATGGAATAAGTAAGAAAAAGATTCATATTTAAGAAATCTTTAAAATAAAACAAAACTTTTAAATTTACCATACCAACAATATTTTGTTTTTGAAAAAGGACAAAAATATTAAAGAGTTAAGCATAAAATGTTTTTTTTTTTTATCTTTATAGTTTAGGATTAGTACTGTTAAAGTATTTTAAAAAATTGAGAAGGGCAACAATTAAGGTTGACAAAGCTTAAAAGAAACATTTTAACTAGAATGCTACATTAAATGGGAATTTGTGCAAAATATACTCTATATAAAATTAGATGCTTTTCTGTAACAACTACAGCGATTTCGATGACAACCACAGCTGCTCCAACGACAACTACAGCTGTTCCTTCAACAACAACAGCAGCTCCAAAAACAGCTGTTACCACAACAACCACAGCTGCTCCAACTACAACCAGAGCAGCTCTTACAACAACTACAGTTGCTCCAACAACAACAATAGGTGCTCCAACAATAACCACAACTGTTCCAACCACAACCACAGCTTCTCCAACTACAACCACTGCTGCTCCAACAACAACCCCATCAGCTCCAACCACAACCACAGCTGTTCCTGCCACAACAACCACAGATGCTCCAACTACAAGCACAGCT